GTAGTTCTAGTCTAGGTATTCTCCCTTGTGTTGTTTTGTACTTGCACTAGGGTTAGGTTTTGCATATACCTTGTTTGTACTTTTTGTCTTAGTCAATTTTACATTGTGACAAATCGCCTGTACCTTCGTGATCCATGCAGGTGCGCCCCATTTTCTGTGGCCCTTCGTGGTTTGTTACACCGCGCACCAGCTAAACCTCTGGCTCCGCGTCTCCCGGTAAGAAGCTTCACCGACCACTCTCTGGACCGGGTCCCCTGGCATCGCGTTGTAGTTTCTTGCTAAGTTTTCCTGGCACATGTCCACGATACCTCTGTGGACAAGCTTTCAGCTCGCACCCTCCTATGTGTCTTCCTTGGTTTCCCGCTAGACACTCCTGACTTTACATTCTACCACCCGCCTCTCCACTAGTTGTTTTACTCTCGTGACGTCACTTTTGACAAGACCAGTACTCCCACTAGGGTCTCCCTGTTCCCCCCCTCCCATGTTCTTAGCTCCCACTCCTCCTCCTGGTCCTGCTCCTCTAGTATGCGCCCCCCACCCAGGTCCTGCCCTATCCGGTGTGACTCAAGCCACCCCTCCTTCCTCGGTAGCTCGTCTAGTGTTGTCCCCTTATCCATTGTCCCCCATGTTGTCTTTACAGTCACCACGGAGACCTTTGGTATTATCGTGGCAGGTCGAAGTCGACTCTGGGGGTGTTGACTCTAAAGGTGTTGGTGCTGGTTCTGTGGGAGATGATGACGGGGGTGCGGGAGCAGGAGGTCTTGGCAGTGGTGGCGCTGGCCCTTGGGGGTGCTGGTTTAGGGTTTTGGGGTTGGAGGTCCTGGAGTTGGAGCTACAGGTTTGGAGGGTACTAGAGATGGTGACACTAGTGCTATGGCCCCTGCCCCGACTGGACACCGCTACCTTACGAGGTTATGGTGTCAGGAGCAGCAGGAGCAGCAGGAGCAGTAGTCGCTACACCAGCAGCACCAGCACCACCGTAAACCCTAAACCCTAAACCCTAAACCCGCAACAGCAACAGCTGCCGTCGCAGCAGCAGCAACAACAAGAGCACTAGAATTCACGATAGCTACACCAGCAGCAGCAGCGGTCGTCGTCACCTATGAGTGGTCTTCGGGCTCTTGGTTTAGATTCTTCTTCTCCTGACCAAGTGCCATCTCCTATTTACGGTCCCACATTTTCTCGTTCTCCTCCACAGTCACGGCAGTCACCCCCTCTCCTTCCTTCTCCGCCTTTAGCCTCTGATCCTGTCGTTCTCCGCATGCTTGTCCCTCGTCTCCTGTCCTGAACCTCCACTCCTTACTCCTTAGTTCACGTCCTCCTTGTGTTCCACCTCTATCTGTCCTCCCGTCCCCTCTTCCGTTGGCTCTCACAGTTGCTTTCATTCCTCTCTTCGACTACTTTCGTGCTGCTTGTCCTCTCGTCTCTCATGTCATCTCCTCTCTCGTTACTGACCCTACATCCTCTCCGTCGTCCGTTTCAGCTCTTGTCGCCACTGCCACTGACTTTACCGCCACCCGCCGCCTTGACTACGCTACCCGCTTGGCAACTGCTCCTCCTACCCGTCCTTTGTCTAGGGGTGAGTTTTCCCTTGGATGTGACATCCAATAAGACAGGTCATTTGAGCTTGGACTCCTTACGGCTGCTGCTCCCCATCTCTGTGCCATGCTGCTAGTTTTTTAGGAAGATGTTAAAAAGATAGACTATGGTGTGGATTAGGTCAACAAGGGTGGTACAAGTATAGTGTCGAGCAATTTGTTGTACCCCCTAAAGCTAGTCCCAACGTAGCCTACATACATATACAGATATATACATTTTGGCACACACCCATAGGCGAAGTGGGGGATAGCCAAAGCAAGCAAAGGTCACAAGACCAATCAAAAGAAGAAAAATAACAAAGCTCAGGGTGGATCACGAATTCACCACACAGTTCGAGCACAAACAAATGGCCACAAGGCCAGTTCACATGCAGAGTTATAAAGAGCACATGCAGTACAGTGATCACCACCTCGCCAAGATAAGCATGCAGCCAAATATATAGATCATAGTACAAAGCAAAGTCAAGCAGTAAGCAAGTGAGGAAGAGTAGGCACAAGGCCTAGAGCATTTCAGAAACGCTGATGATCACCAGACACAAGTGCCTTGGTGTTAAATTCAGCAGTGTTGGTCCGTGAGGCTACGAAAGCAAGACGAAGCTGGCCACGCTACTGCAGCTCTCGAGCAAGGAAGTAACGCAGAGCAATGTGCTCCAGTCTCTGCTCTCGACACAAGGCAATCATGGACTTGTTGTCGACATACAGGACCGAAGGAGAACGAGACCGCTCACCCAAGTCGGTCAGCAAGTAGGTCAGCCAGCGTAAATCCTGTGCAGCCATGGCCCCTGCAGCCTCACAACTGGAGCTGAGAACAGAAGACGGGCGGGTAGACCTCCAAGAAACTGAACTGGAGCCAAGACTGAAGGTGTAGCCCTGTGACGACCGCTGAGTACCGTGGTCGTCTGCCCAAGAAGCGTCTGAGTGTCCAGTGAGTACATTTGAACCTCGTCCTCCAAGCATGAGCCCCATGCCCGATGTACTGCACAAGTAACGCAGCACCCTCCTAGAAGCCCGCCAGTGCTCTGGTCGGTGTCTCCTGAGCGCAACGTAGCATGCCAGGATGCTGAAAGGGTACGCGAAGTCAGGTCGAGTGCAGGTCATTAGGTACATGAGGCAACCCACAAGCTCTGGATATTGACCACTTGGCTCTACGGACTCGTCCAAAGTTGGAGTTGAGAGCGAGTGGAATGTAGACAGAGGAGTGGACTGTGGCAAGGAGAACTAGAAGCCGAAGTGCTGAAAGACCTGGTGCACCATGTGTGACTGAGACAGAGTGATGGTGCGCTGTGCTCTGTCCCGGGTGATCTGCAAGCCAAGATAGCTGTGCAGCTCACCCAAGTCAGTGCAAGTGTGTCTCTTCTCCAGCTCAGCCTTCACAAGGGCCAGTGCCTCAGGGTCAGCAGTAGCAAAGACCAAGTTGTCGATGTACACGAGGATGTAGAACGGCGGCAGAGATGTGTCGGTGCGTAGAAACAGCGACGGGTCAGCAGTCGAAGGAGCAAACCCAAGAACCGCAAGCGTAGTCCTCAGTGTGTTGTGCCATTCGCGAGACGCCTAGCGGAGACCGTAGACTGGCCGCCGGAGGCTCCACTTGCTACCCTCAGGAAACGACCTGGTGAAGCCAGGTGGGTGGCGCAGCCAGATCTCCCCGTGAAGGCTGCCCTGCAAGAAAGTTTTGTTGAAGTCAAGCGAGTGGAGCTCGTAGTCACGCTGTGCTGCAACGTGCACTAACACGCAAAGAGTGGGGTGGGGGAGAAGGTCTGGAAGAAGTCGACCCCCTGTCACTGACTGAAGCCTCGTGCAACGTAACACGCTTTGAAGACAGGCGGAGAACCCGGCGACCGCTTCACCTTGAAAATCCACATGCCATCGACTATGTTCGCCCCATGTGGGGGAACTGCGTTGACCTAAGTGCCTGTGGACTTTCATGATGCCATCTCTACGTCCATGGCTGTCTGCCACTGAGAGGAGTAAGGACGCATAAGAGCCCGGGGTCGGGATGTCTAGTGCATCCGGGTCTTCCTCAGGGGCAAGTAAGATGGCAGCAAGATGAGGTACAGCAGCTGCAAGACACTCGAGCTCAAACTGCTTGTCCTCAAGAACGTCTGTGCCAAGTGCACACTCACCCCCGACGAACGGAGGACTGTCAGACTTAGACTCAGTAAGAAGACTAGTGACGTAGTCGAGAGGACACGCAGTAGCAAATTCAACGAGCTCAGTGACCAAGGCAGACGCAACAGCAAACTCAAAAGGAGAGTCTGTGACAAGTGTGGCTAGAACACGCGCGATAGTAGGACTAGCAGCACGAACTGGGTCCAACTCAGGGTTACGAACGTTGGGAAGAGAGGATGGTGGGGGCGACGGCAGGGCAACACGCTGTGGAACAGAGGAAGGACGAAGTACCATAGTGTGTGTGCCGGGAACAATCGGAGGACGAACACGATGAGCATGACGAATAGTGTGAACAGGGGAGGCAGGACGGGACGCAGGCTCACGAAGCTCTGTCAGAGAGTCTGTCAGCTCAGTGTAACGAGAAGGAGCAGGCAACGGGGAGTGAGGCTGTAACTGTGGCTGTGACTCGTCACGCGGAGGACAGAGTAGGGGAGGAGTAAGGCCAGTGGCAGACGGAAGACGGACAACCTAGCGAAGCGCCAAGGCAGGTGGTGGTAGCGACGACTCCAGCTGAGGCCATAAGAACGGACGCCGCTACACAGGCTACGTAGCACCCCCAGTAGTAGAACCTCTAGTAGCCCCGGCTCCGGTACCTCGAGCACCACCAGCAGCAGTGCCTCCAGCTCCAGCACCTCCAGCACCAGTTGTCCCAACCCCAGAACCCCTAGCACCTCCAGCTCCTGTATCTCCAGGTCATGTGCCTCCGGCTCCAATACCTCTAGCACCAGCAGCCTTAACACCTCCTGCTCCAGTACCTCCAGCGCCTTCAGCTCGAGAGTCAGCGACTTCCTACTCAATGCCTCTAGTGGCAGCACATCGTCTGACTACCCACTAACGCAGCTGCTTCTGCGAGAGAGTCTCCTGCGGACGCGATGGCAGCTACTACCCACCTCCAGGTGCAGCACCCCCACGCTCAGCACCCCAAGGCTCAGCACCCCCACTCTCAGCACCCCTAGAACCAGTACCACCAGTATACCCTGAGAGCCCACACCTCCAGCGCCACCACCTCCAGTAGCACCGGAGTCCACGGCGACAGGCAGCAGAGGCGGCGAAGATGGCCGAAGCTGATAACCAGGAGGGGTCTCCAAACGTGGGGAGCGGCGAGAGGTCGCAGTTTCGTCAGCAGCAGGGTCACCCCCCTCAGTCGGGCCAGATGAGACCTCCAAAGGGCCAACCAAGGGGGGTGGTGTGACCTGAGACACACCTAAGGGAGAACGCGAGGGGGGTGGGGGTCTACCAGGGGGTAACCTGGAACCAGGAAGAGGGGCAGCGGGGGGACAAGAGAAAACACGTAGGGGAGGAGAAGACACGGTAGTAGCAAACCGACTCGTCAAAGGTGACGTCCTAGGAGGAGAAGACGCGACGCGAGTGAGGGTGGTAAAACTGCCAACCAAGCGCGTTGGTGGGAAAACCAAGGAAGACACAGCGAACGGTGCAAGAGAACTTGTCCGCGGAAGTATCGCGAACAAGGGCCATCGAACCCCAGACCCGAAACGCCGACGCATCGCCAACCTCCCCTATCCAACGCAGTGTAGGCGAGGTCTTTGGCACGGAGACACGAGGCCAGAGGTTGAGCTGATGCGCAGCGTATCGGACCGCAAACAGCCATAGAAAACGGGGAGCAGTGGCATGGATCATGGAGGTGTGAGCAACATCCATGATCACGCCAATGCGGCGCTCTGCAATCCCATTCTGCTGCGCAGAAGCCAGAAGCGTGAACGACTAGGTGATGCCCTCCTTACGACATAAGTCCTGAAGGAAAACTCACCTCCACAGTCAGAGTGCGGACGGAGAACCGGGAGGTCCTGGTGGAACCGTGCGCCCAGCTGGCGACGAGCAGTGTGGATCTAAGGGATCAAAATACGACAAACGTCACCCTTGCTTTGCAAGGGAAACACCGTGGTGTAGCGCGTATAGTCGTCGACGACCAGCCCCGGCCCGGCCCGGGGACGGGGCCAAGGCTCCGCATGTCCATATGCAAGGTCTACAGAGGAGCCTCTATCAGAGGGAATGAGGAGGAGTGAGGAGCGGCGCGCTGCCGCCCCTCAATGCAGGGAGTGCACGGCGGCGCAAGCGACAGAGGGAGCGGGGGCAGGGACCTCAGGAGGCCCGAGACAAGGAGACTCGAGTGCATGCGATGCAGACTCTGCAGGAAGGAGTGACCAAGACGGTGCTGCCAGAGGAGGGACGGGTGCGTGAGCGACCAACACGAGCACGATGCAACTACCTGGCCGGACTTAGCAAAGTGTACAAACTCAACGTGTAGTGTGTACAGGCCGGACCCAGGCCTCCGAGTGAACATGGCAAGGTGGTCGCCAGTCACTGAGTCCGTACAGATCTCCACAAGCTCGCCCCCAAGAGTGGTGGTAGTGACCAACCGATCCTGGAGGACAGCCTGACTCACCAAGTTCGTAGCGATCGAGGGGAGGTGGAAACCTGTGAGGGAACTAGAGGGGACTGTCGGACATGGGAGAACAGTGGTACCTTGTGCAACAACTGGGCCAGAAGAGAGGTCGGCCAGAATGTCAGGGACAGGTGTGGTGAGTGGTGTGACTGTGGTGCAGTCGCGGAAGAAGCAGCGAGACGTGCCTATGCTAGCAGACTCACAAACACCTAGACTAGCAGCCTCTACATCACCAGAGCTCGGCACACCCGAGTAAAAATCACCCTCAGCACTAGCAGTAGCAGCAACACACATAGCATGCATGCCAGCAAGGATCTGGTCCCAATCAAGAGCAAATTCATCAAACTCCTCGCAAAAAGCGTCCTCGAGGCGGCAGAAGCAGCGAGTGTTGACATGGCCTGGCTTGCCGCAAACGTCTCCTGCGCGGGGTCCCATGCGTCTGACGTAGGTACAGCGACCTCCTCCTCCGGGGCCACCTCGCAGGACCACCCACTCATGTAGCTGCTGCGGCAAGAGGGTCTCCTGCTGACGTGACTGCTGCTGCTGTCCACCCCCGGCCTCCACTAGCAGTGCGCCCAGACGCAACTCCCTGACCTTCACCCCTACTGGCTCCACCACAACTGCCACCTGAGCCACCTCCGCCACCCAAAGTGCCGCCACTGCCCCCGCCACTCCCACCACCCCCGCCACCCCCACCACCTCGGCCACCACCACCTCCACTGCCCCCACTACCGCCACCACCACCGCCCCCGCCACCGCCATCCCCGCCGCCACCCCCACGACCCTTGCCCTTCTAGCGCCCACCCTTGTTGCGCCTCCTGCTAAGAGTGGACGCCGCACCGGCTACCTTAGCACTGAGGAAGTCAACAGCAGCAGCAAAGGCGACAGAGGGTGCAAATAGGGAAGGAGCACACCCCTCAAAGAAGGAGGTGCGATGAGTACCACGGGAGGTAGCTACTGCGGAGATAACTACTACAACGGGAGCTAGACTACGTGCTAGGCACGGGTGCTCGTGTGATCTCTGCGTTCGCTGGTCCTTAGTCGTTTTCCTAGTGCACAGACTGCTTGCTAGTTCACGAAGCAAGTTGGCAAGAGTTTCACTAGCGAAAGTTGACAACAATGGTACAAATCAGTTGGCATGGCAAGACTACATTAGAGCTAGCATTCAGGTCGGTCGACTGCCAGCACAGCATGGCCGACCGCGTTCCAGCACGACTTGGTCGACCGCGCTCCAACAGTGCAAACTCGACGGCGTGCCAACGCTGCAGGTTGACGGCATGTCAGTGTTGCTCCCGCAGAACCGCAACGCACCTACTTCACAGGTGCTCGTAGATGATTGGCGGGCTAAGCCTCGTCACCTGAACAGCGCACGCACCAAGTCATCTTCGTGCTGACGGCTCCACCTGATCCGCCACGTCGACCTCGGGATACCACCACCAATGTCGGACTCGACAACTTCGCCTGGGCGACCGTCGCACTCCTTCGCAGAACCTCGTCACCCAGGTATCCCGGTCGACCGGGCAACCATGTCGACCAGCTGCTCCTGTATGTGCTCGTCGACCTCCCAAGTTGACGACCACCCCAAGTCGACCTCACCAGGTCGACCACACCTCTGGTCGACCAGCTCCAGGGCGACGTCACTCCTGGTCGACTAGCTCCACATCGACCAGCGCAGCTGTCAGTCGACCACCCAAGTCGGCTACCCAAAGTCGGCGTCACCAAGTCGACGCCCCTTCTACGTCGGTGCCGACTTCCAGACTGACCTCTTGAAGTCGGCGACCTCCCAAGTCGGTGACCTTGCAAGTCGGTGACCTTGCAAGTTGGTGACCTTGCAAGTCGGTGACCTTGCAAGTCGATGACCTTGCAAGTCGGCGACCTTGCAAGTCGGTGCCGACTTCCAGGTCAACGTGCCACATTGCCGACCACCAGTTGAAGTCGGCCGCCGGCTTCCCAAGTCGGCGGCATTGGAGTGGCCCTGTGCAAGTCGACCAGCCCCGTCGACCAGCTCGCCCAAGTCGGCGTCGCCCACTGCTGCAAGTCGGCTGTACCTCCCGTACACCCAACCACGAAGTCGGCTCCGCCCAAGCGAGGACGGGACCAACAACAACTCCCGTTGACAGCTACAGTGTAGGCACTGGTCTCAACCTCCAAGAGCCGTGACTCAAACGAGGCTAGGGTGAGCTCGGTAGGGTCGAGAGAAAGGAAGTGGTCTCAGATGGGGCGAAGGGAGTCACGGAGATGGTCACTAGGAAGTAGAGTGTGATGTACATGGGGGAGGGCTCTTGGTAAAAAAATCCGACTTGAGAGCAGCACGGTAGCGAAGGTGACTGGTGCGCAGGTGAGTCATGAGGTCAGCGACAGTGTCGAATTCTGACAGCTCTAGAAAAAGGTACAGAAGTAGTAGGCGGCCTAGAGTGGCAGAGGAGAAAGATGAATAACGCTTAACTGCAGCGTCATAAAGGTCCTTTGCGGTTCTCAACTGGCGAAAGTGGGCGCGTTGGCCAGGCGGGAGGTGGCTGCGAAGCGCGGCAGTGGCTAGCTATGCAGTCAGCTTTGTACTTGTGCTGTGCTTTTGTCAACGCAGTAAGGGCAGCCTTAGTCGGAGTGGGAGGGGCTGGGAGGGAGCCTGGGGTGTGCTCAAAGAGAGAGACGTCGTCGCGGGTAACGCTAAGCACGTACAGGTGAAGTCCCTCAAGCCACGACTCGTAATCGACAGGGCTACCCTCAGCGTCAAACTCAAGGATAGTAGGAGGTGCCATTGTGAGCAGTGCGGCCTAGCGACCGTCAAGACGAAGGTACAGTGCTAGGACCTAAAGGCAGTGCTGGGCCCGAGCGGCGCGGATAGGCAGAGCGGCACAGCAGGGCTGCTCAGTTGGGCACACCAGCTCGGGCAGCATGCAGAATAGGCAGTAGGGCAAGGCAGTGCAAGTGGCCAGGCTGCAGCGCAGGCGAAAGTAGGTAAGGCAGCGGCCTGATGGCAGCAGGCAGGGCGGCACGCTGCAGGGCGGGCTGCAGCACTAAGCAGTCTAAGCAGCAGCGCGAGCAGCAGTGCAATAGCGTACGCAAGGCAACGTGCAGTAGGGGAGAGCACGAGTGCAGCAGTGTTAGAGACTAAGGATGGAGTAGATTAGGTGCCTGAATTTCTCAAAATCGTTGGCTTATAATTCTGGACAGAAAATCCGCACCCACAAGAAATGTCGTCGACGAAAAACGCACCGTCAAAACTTCACAAATTTCAGAATGTTGTAGCTCTACTCCGTGGCTACAATTCCCAATTTGAATCGTACGAAAAGATGGGTATGGATCTTGAGTTATGGATTTCGGCGCACTAGGGGGTATGCTGCCATAGCAGCTAAACTCAATCGCAATAGTTTCACAAGTGTCAGAATCCCAACCACTAGACCATTGGGATAAAAGGGCTTGTTTCAGTAGCGGGTCAATGCGCCCATAACCCCCTAGGCGAACGCGCCTGTAACCCTCTCCAGGATCAATCGAGCATCCACAGTGCAGATCTACTGACACCCCCCCACACTGGGAGGCCCAGGACTAAGCACAGCGGCAACGGCCTACATGTGCATACACCGGGAATCGAACCCGAGACCGCTTTGATACCATGTCAGAATCCCAACCACTAGACTATTGGGATAAAAGGGCTTGTTTCAGTAGCGGGTCAGTGCGCCCATAACCCCCCAGGCGAACGCGCCTGTAACCCTCTCCAGGATCAATCGGGCATCCACAGTGCAGATCTACTGACAACAAGAGAGTTGGAGTAGCACTAAACCAGGTGGGAGGGGATGAGGAGGACGAGAGGGAAGGTCCCAAGAGAGTCCCCAACCAAGGAAACCCCATGCCACACAATTCCCCTCTCTATGGGCACCCCAACTTTGACCTTTGTCACGTTCCCAACCCATGCCATCCACCTCATCCAACTTGGCCACACTTGCCAGCCTGGTTTGGCTTCTCCCAACCACTTGGCATCAACTACAGTGATGGGGACGAATTTCCCAACCCCCAAAAGTCTGTACCCCATATTGAGTTACTTCACAACTTCCCAAAGTCGTCGCATCCCAATCAAAACTTCGAACGATCATAACGATTCTTGCTCCGATCGCAACGATTCTTGGTTCGTCGGAAAGCTATTGAGAAGAGGAGTCACTTCACATATCTGCTCAAGCCAAATAACATTCACACATACTCAGATAATCCAAACCACACCAAACACAATTTCTTGCACACGCTCATACCACGCATGCATCGCACGAACATATGATGGGAGGCAGACAGACGTGAATGCATATGATTGCATCACACAACAAGCAGGGCAGGACATAGGCGCGGCTCGGTGAGGAGCAGCGCGCTGCAGCGGCAACGCACTACAGAGGCGCGGCGCGCGGGGCAGCGACGCGCGGGGCAGCTATGGTGCGCATGCGCAAAGCATGGGGAGCGTGCGACGGGCAGCAATGACGCGCGCTTTAAGGGCGCACGGCGCGCAGAAAAAACAGCACGCTAGAGGGGCGCGCCATAGGCAGCGGAACGGGCAGCGGTAAGAGCGGGCCTGAAAAAATATCGGTCCCTAAACAGGCGGTCCTAAGGACCTAACGTGCTCTATACCATGTTAAGAAGATAGAGTATGGTGTGGATTAGGTCAACAAGGGTGGTACAAGTAAAGGGTCCAGCAATTTGTTGTACCCCCTAAAGCTAGTCCCAACATAGCCTACATACAAATGTAGATGTATATCTTTTGACAGAAGAACCTGACGCTCCAAACATCCCGACTTCCCGCACTTATGCTGAGGCTGTTTCGGGACCTTGGGCCTCCCGGTGGATAACAGCATGGACCAATGTCAAGCTGCAGTTTGGATCGCCTCCTGTTTTCAAGACGCGCTACGTGGCGAGAGGCTTTAGTCAGCATGAGGGAGTTCACTTCTTTCAGGCCTTCTCCCCTACCCTGAAGATGACCACTCTTCGGGTACTACTCCACATCGCAGCACAGCATGACTACGATCTGCAATCACTTGAGTCCTCCATGGCCTTCCTCCAAGGTAGCCTGCACGAGGAGATCGAGCTACGCCGTCCTCTTAGCTGCACTAGCACATTCCCGCCTAGGACCCAATGGAGCCCAAGATGACCAGTCTACGGTCTCCGCCAAACAATCCGTGAGTGGCACGAGACTCTTCATTCCGTACTTGCTGACCTTCACTTCATTCCTTCAGCCGACCCTTCACTCCTTCGTTCTGGGCCCACTCCCTTCTTCATTCTCGGCTACATTGACGACTTGATATTCTCTACTGCAGACAGTGTTGCTCTGGCTGAAGTGAAGTCTGAACATTTGAAAAGACACATTTGCATTGACTTTGGTGAACTGCACAACTATCTTGGCTTACAGGTCATCAGGGGCAGAGCAGCTCGCACCATCACTTAGACTCCGTCGCACATGGTGCAGCAGGACCTTCAGCGGCTTGACTTCCAGCTCTCCACTATACAGCTCGCTCTTTATACTGTGGACCACATGCTCAGTAATCCTTCCTCTGACGACCCAGGTGAGCCTAGTGCACGCTACACGGAGCTTGTGGGTTGCCTCATGTACTTGATGACGTATACACGACTAGACTTTGCCTACCCTCTCACGGTCCATGCTCGCTTTGTTGTGACGGGGAGACACCATCAGGCCCACTGGACAGCGGCTATTAGGTAGCAAAGTACTTGGCCATCACATCACGCATGGGACTTGTGCTTGGAGTCTTAAGATAGCAGGCAGAAAG